AAGTAACTGCAACTCTCTTAATTTGCTGATGGGGATGTGAAACAGAATGATCACTTTAGAAAATTTATTGGCTGTTTCTAACAAAGTTAAATATCTGCTACATGACTTCAAAACAGAGAGAGTATTGTATGAGAATATTCATAGCAGCTTTACTTTTAACAGTCCTAGGCTGGTAAAAACCTAATCCAGTAAAAAGAATGGGTAAACAAATTTTGCTTAGTTCATATAATGAAGTACTATGCAGCAATGAGAAAAGAATAAATTATTGATATACAAAGCAACATAGAAAATACTCAAATATTATATTGAGCTTAAGAAGCCAGGTACAAAAGAGTAGCAGGCAGTATAATTCCATTTATATTGAAGTTCAGCATAGGTAAAACTAATCTGTGATCATAGGAGTCAGAATATGGTTACTCCTGGGAGTGTGAGGATGTGATATTGACTAGAAAGGACACAAAGGAACTTTCTAGGATGTTGGAATTGTTCTATAATTTGATCTGGGTGATAATTACATGGGATAATGCAAGTAATGATCTATGCATTTTATTATACATGTTATGCCTTCATTTTTTTAAAAAAACCTAATGGTTTTTAAGTTAGTGTTATATATCTGAAAAATTCATATAAAAACCATATGCTAGAGACAACAGTTTGGGATTCATTGTTAGTTTAAACCTTAGTTAAGAGAAGTTATATTTGTCAATATATAGAAAGCATGAAACAGAAAGAAAAATACATCTGTTTCATTTAGGCCTACTGGGACTTGCATGTGTTCCAGAGGCAATGTTTTTCAACTCCACTAATAAAATAATTTCTTATATTCATATTCTAACAGGAAGTTTTATTTCTTTTCTCTTCTTCCTTAGTAGCTCATGATTCAGCCTAATATGGATTGTGATTTTCTTTTCTTTAGTTACTGTGACCTGTAACCCAATTTGAATTTTTCTCCTAAGCTGATACAGTAAGCCCAGAGTTATTGAGAATGTACTTGCTATGTGCAAGCCCCAGTGCTATACATATACATATACACCTCCTGCCTTCAGAATTTGTTGTGGCAGGGAAGTCAGTGATCATAACAGTAGTAGTCCTAGGAAACTTTTTAAAAATATGAACTTTATATTAAGCGCTGTCCAAAGCACTTTGTATATGAATTATCGAATCATCACAACAACCCTAAGAGACAGGGCAAGATGTTAGTGTAAGACTGACATCCTTTGTATGAATGAGAAAGATGGAGAACCTCTCCGTTATCTCAAGAAGTTCAACTCTGGCCCTACTGAAAACCTCACTATAGCAAAATAAAGATTGATAACTGAACTCATTCTCTCTTAAGACGATTTAGGGATAATCTGTTGTAACTGAACATGAACATGCCCTAGGGTGATCTCACCCCCAACACATACACACATACACACATGCACCACAGTGTTCTGCCTGAAAGAAGTTTGGGTAAATAGAAGGTTTGTGTTTCCTTTTTGTAAATTAGTACCCTTATAGATAAATACTCTTGATAACTACTCATCTGTCTCACCACAATGTTCAGTTTTGATGTAGGTGCTATTTTTAATCCTTATTTTACTGTTGAGGAACCTGAGGCTCGGGTAAGTTGAATAATATTCTATATAGTTTTTATTGCTGTATAACAAGTTACTACAAACTTAGCAGCTTAAAACAGCACACATTTGCAGCCTCATAGTTTCTGTGGGTCTGTGAGTCTGGCACAGCTTAGCTGGATCCTATGCTCAGGGTCTTAGAAGGCTGCAGTCAAGGTGTCATTTGGGCTGTATTCAGCGGGGAGCTCTAGGTCCTCTTGCAAACTCACAAGGTTTTTCACAGAATTTATTTTCTTGTATGTGTATGGTAGATGCCTTGCTCCCTGTTGCCTGGAAACTGCCTTCTGCTCCCGAGGTCGTTGCCATATGAGCCCGTTCATAAGCCCTCCCACCCTGTATATAATGGTTTGCCTCTGCTGATCTGAGCCCCCCATTCCTTCACTCCCCTACGTCTGTTCTCCCTTGGCAACCACAAGTCTGCTCTCTATACCTGTGAGTCTGGGATTCTCTCCAGCTCAGTTCAGTTCCTCAGTCATGTCTGACTCTTTGCAGCCCCAGGGACTACACCACGCCAGACTTCACCAACTCCCGGAGCTTGTTCAAACTCATGTCATTGAGTCCATGTTGCCATCCAACCATCTCATCCTCTGTCGTCCCCTTCTCCTCCTGCCTTCAGTCTTACCCAGCATCAGGGTCTTTTCCAGTGAATCAGTTCTTTGCATCAGGTGGCCAAAATATTGGAGCTTCAGCACCAGTCCATCCAATGACTATTCAGGACTGAGTCTGGGATTAGCAGAGGCAAACTCTTGCATATAGGATGGGCAAAAACAAGTTCCTACCATCTAGCACAGGGAAGTATATTCAATATCCTGTGACAAAACATAATGGAAAAGAATATGAAAAGGAGTATTCGCTTTCATATTCTTTTCCATTATGTTTTGTCATAAATGAGTCACTTTGTAGTACAGAAGAAATTAACACACATTGTAAATCAACTATAGTTCAATAAAATCTACCAAAAAAAACAAAAAAGCCCTCCCATAACATAATAGCTTATTTCTTCAAGACCAGCAGGAGAATCACTGACCTTGGGGAGAGCACCAGACCGGCTATGAAAGGGCTTACCTGAGTAGGTCTGGCCCACATGAAATCATCTTCCTTTTTGTTAATTCAGAGTTAGCTGGTAAGGAATCTTAGTTATATATGTAAAGTCCATTTTGGCATGTACGTAACATAGCCACAGGATTGATCACTGATCATATTCACAAGTTCTACCCCGATCAAGGCGAGGAGATAATACAGGGTGGGGACACCAAGATGATGGAGATCTTGGGGACCGTCTTAGAATTCTGCTTAGCGATACGCACAGTTCCCTAGCAGGTAATTGGCAAAGCAGTGTTGTCTTTGAGCAAAGCATGCATGGAAATCTTCACATCGAAGTGCCTCTCAAAAACATAGATGCTAACTACAAAAAAAAAAAAAAATTGTTTTAGAAATCTTCCAAATACCTGACATTTGTGAATAATGTAACTATCAGCACCATTAAAGTAAGTGTAAGCTTTGTTAGTACCTAACAATGCACATATATAAATAATGTTAAGGAACAAAAACATGAATAAAAAATACTACATACATGGTATCTACTGTTATATTAATGATACGTGGATTAGAAAATATATGATGATGTAAAATAGTTGATTTATGTTTCTGGACTCAAAACATTTATCTGTCATTTTAAAAGTATAACCTTTAAAAAGTCAATTTATCATACAGAGTAGCAGATGGTAAACATTTCTGTTGACAGTAAGTGCTACAGAAGTTCAGAATAGGGGAGATTAATGTGGACTAGAGTTCTTCCTTAGGTGTAAAATAAGGTTAATTTTTTATGCGGTAGTTTATCATAAATTTTGCCCCAGAACTAGTTCCTTTTATGTAGTTTGTCATCTGCTCGGTATACAAGATTGCATGCCTTCTATGAAGAGACCCAGGTCATCTCCATGTATGTGGCTGATTTTCATTTAAGTAGAACTCCTTTAACATTGTTTTAGAACCTCACTTGAAATCTTGAGTCATTGTACTAGCCCTCTTTTATTATAGGCTAGGAAACATGGCATTGCTATATATCTGTTAGTTGATACTTTTTACCAATTAGTTCTTCATTTTCAACTATTGCAAAATAAATTGGTGGGATTCCCCCCCCCCTTTCTGCTAGGGATCTCGATTATTCATTCTTCCTATATCTCTAGAATACATAACCATCTCAACTGCTTATGAATTAGTTCTTATTTTAAAAGTTGTGGCAAACTGAATAATGGCCTTCCAAATACGTCCATGTCCTCATTCCTGGAACCTGTGAATGTCACTTTATATGGCACGGAGGCTCTGTATGACAAGAGACTTTACAGATGCCATTCGGGAACTTAAGATGATGAAATGATCCAGGAGTCCATGGGTAAGCCTGGTGTAATCAGCGTGGTCCTTATGGGAGGGACAGAGGAGGAGTCTAACGGCCCACGGTGCAGACCAGTGGTTCTCAGAGTTTGGCCCCAGGTTGGCAGCACCACCCAGGAGCTTGCTAACAGTGCACATTCTTCGGCTCTACTCTAGAGTTACTGAGCTGAGAACTCTAGGGAGTGAGCCAAGCAATTCACATTTAACAAGCCCTCCAGGTGATTCTGATTCGTGCTAAAGTTTGAGCATCATTGCTAAAAACTCAGTTTTGCTCTCCCAGCAGAACAGGCTTGAGGCTAAAATGCTGGGGAAGCTCACTCTATCGGCTTGTCAACAGTAATTTGCGACTGCTTCCTTTCCGCCTGACTTCTGTCAGACTGTAATCACTTGAACAGCCTAATTGAGAAATCACTTATGTTTATAGCTGAAATTAAATATGTTTTGTATTTAAATAACTACTTTTGATTAGAATCATATTTTGTGGAAAGTGGTTGGTTTTATCTGTGTACTGTAAAGATGTTTATAAAAACTCATCAAATTTCTAGCAGTAACTAACATCCTATTCAGTATAAGGTGAAATGTTTTACATCAACTCTCATGCTGTGTAATGGCCAATCAAAAGGTATTTAAGGTCGCTGAATGGATTTCTTGGCTTAGTATTCAAAATTAAACATTTTAAGACATTAACATTTAATGTTTTTCTTCTCAAAGTTGATGTTATATAACTTATTATTTGCAACTCCTGAAGTCTTGCTTAAGCAGAGAGTGGCAACGCTTTCTTTTTCTCTTCTTTGTGAATTTACTGAAATATAGATTGTTTGAAAATGAGTTTAGCCTTGTGGCACATATCTGTTTAGCTGTGAATACTATCTTTATTAAGAAGACAAAAACACAGCTTTGTCTTGGTAAACATGTGTCACTGATTTCTGAAGAGTCAAAAGAACTCCCTCTATTGTGCTCTTATTTGACAAGTGATCTTGTGGTTCCTTTTAGGTATCCAATAGGAAAAGCATTCTCCCGTCTGCATCTATGGAACTGGATGGTTCCTACTTAAGTGTAGCCAAACCACAGATCCACACTCAAACCAAGCAGAGGCCTAAGTCTGCAAATCAGGACTCCGCTTTGGACTCGCTTGTGGAATTTAGGAATAATTCTTTGAAACCAGCAACCCTTCATTATTCCAAAGAAGATATGAGCAAGGTGCCCTCAGAGACCAGAGCATGTAATTACAGATCCCCAGGGAAAAAACTAGTAGACGCAGTCCCAACAGAGAAAGCCCCTCCCAAAGAACTGAAGATGAAGGAATGCCAGCACCTTCAGGCTCCTCCGTCTAGTCAGTGTTGTGGCCATGGACTTTCTGAAAATGCAGATCATGTTCACGAGAACCATCCAACAAACATGGGCCCTCAGCATTCCAAGACACAGCTGGACTCATGCAGGTTTTGTGGGCTTTCCTGGGCGTCTCTGATGCATGGCCATGGGGCACTGCCACCTAATGAAAATGATGTCAGAAAGCAGCTCTCGGAAGATAGGAGGCAGCAACTTATGCTTCAGAAAATGGAGCTGGAAATTGAAAAGGAGCGCCTTCAGCATCTGTTGGCCCAGCAGGAGACAAAACTTCTCCTGAAACAGCAGCAGCTTCATCAGTCTCGACTGGACTATAACTGGTGAGTTCTGTTTGTTTTTTCAGCAGTACCTGTAGTTTGGATAATACAGTATAAAATGACAGCTGTGTTACTGTAACAGATGTGTAGGAACAGAAGTTCCTCAGAATCTTGGTTTGCTCAAGATGCATAGCAGCTATGACTTCCAAATACATTGCAGTCTTTTGAGAAAGAACTGAAAGATTACCTTGTCTTCCAAAATGTTAGCTTAGAATATCTACTTCTCACCTGTCCAGTGTAGTTTTGGCTGGATTCTAAAGACAGTATTTTTCAACAATGTTACCATTACACAAAATACTTTGTTATTTGATGTCATTGTAGAGAATATTAAGCATTAAGTAAAAACTTAAAATTTTAGGATGTAAAATGAGACTCACTGTGACTAGGTTTCATCATTCCTTATAACAAAGAGAACCTGCTAAATTCAACCTTTTCTGGTTATGAAGCATAACCTGTTCAATAGCCAATTATTATACACCTTCCCACATTTAAACTGCTCTTCCTCTGACAATTTTTCCCTAAGAACAATGTTTTAAAAGCTAAAGCCCTATTTAATATCATGTAGTGTTTATTATAGTTTTACATACAAAGTCAAAGTTTGTTATCTTAATTTCAAAATAGTAATAGATCAAATGCAATTTTAAACATAAGAAAATATGGCATTTATGTCTTTTTATAAGTAAATTTCAAGGAAAGGGAGTATGTATCTCTGTGTGTGTGTGTATCCCTGCCATTTTCTCCTTGGTCAAGCATACCTTTTCCCCTTTGTACACATTCTTAGACATGTTGATCCTTGCACACCTAATATTAGTGTTATTTTCTTTTACTTCTTGGAGTTAGTTGTCTTTGACTTTCAGATCCTGCTCCATGTTTTTAAATCCTCATGTCTTTGAAAGTTCAGTCTGTCTTGTTTTCTTCAGTGCAGTGTCGACTTCCCTAGGAAGCAAACGTGATCTTCCTCTTTCTCCTCCTTTATGATCAATTTTATTCTTCACTGTTGAACCTGGAGGCTTTTAAAGTAAGTGAAAATGAAGCCTCTTGTAACAAGATTGTCACCAAAAGCTGAAATGTTGCTTCAATTTTATGACCCCAATCTCTAATTCTCCAGTTAACGTGTAGTTTCTCCTGAGAACTTCATTCCACAAATATTTATTGAATGTCTGTGTTATGTGAGGAATGGCTCTAGGTAGTTGAGATAGATAAAAGAATTAAATGCAGACTTTAAAGAGATCACAGTCTAGCAGGGGAGAATGGATAATTTTATGTTAGGCATCATGTTCATTTCAACAGCATTGTATATGCTCCTTCATGATAATAAAGTGCTTGTTGTTCTCTTGATCACCTTAGCTTAGATGAAAGCACTATGAAACACAAATTTTGAACAAGTTTTGTGTATATAGATTTCTTAAAACTTTTTATTTTGAAATAATTGCAGATTGATAGGAGTTGCAAAAATAGTACAGAGATTCTCTGTGCCGTTCACCCGGTTTCTCCCAAAAGCTACATTTTATACAAACATAATATATTGTCAAAGCTAGTAAATTAACATTGGTACAATGTGTGTGTGTGTTTCTGTGTCATTTTATCACATGTGAATTTATGTAGCCACCTCCACAGTCAAAATGTAGAACTATTTCAGCACCACCAAGATTTCATTTGTACTATGCTGGGGGTTTTTTGTTTTGTTTTTTAATTTTGTATTGGAGCATGGTTGATTAACAGTGTGGTAGTTTTAGGTGTATAGGAAAGTAATACACATAAAGATGTGTATTTTCTTTTTCAAATTATTTTCCTGATTAGATTATTACTATGTCCTCATATGTTTTTAATATGTGTTATTTATTTATTTGGTTGATTGCACTGGCTCTTTGGGATTCCCCGGTGGCTCAGATGGTAAACAGTATTCTTGCCTGGAAAATCCCATGTATGGAGGAGCCTGGTGGGCTACAGTCCATAGGATCGCAAAGAGTCAGACACCACCCAGTGACTACACTTATTTTTTGGACTTCCCTGGTAGCTCAGATGGTAAAATGTCTGCCTATAATGCAGGAGACCTGGGTTCCATCCCTGGGTCGGGAAGATCCCCTGGAGAAGGAAATGCAACCCACTCCAGTATTCTTGTCTAGAGAATTCCATGGACCGAGGAGCCAGTCCATGGGGTCGCAAAGAGTCGGACACAGCTGAGCGACTTCACTCACTGGCTCTTCAGTTGTGGCACATGAGGTCTTCCATCTTTGTCATGATGTGAGGCATCCTTAGTTGTAGCATCTGTACTCTTAGTTGCAGCATGCAAATTCTTGGTTGTGGCATTCTGGTTTCCTGACCAGAAATGGAACCTGGGCTTCCTCCATTGGGATCGTGGAGTCTTAGCCACTGGACCACCAGGGAGGTCCCTGAACTATGCTGTTAGAGTCACTCTTTGCCCCCATCTGTCCCTAACCCTGGGATCTCCTAATCTTTTGTCTATTTCTAGATTGTTATTATTTTAAGGATTTTATGTAAATGGAATTATGCATAATGTTAAATTTTGATATTGGCTTTTCTCATTCAGCATAATGCTAAGATGCATCTAGATTGTTACATATATTATACTTTTTGACTTCTGAGTACCATTCCATGATATAGATATACTGTGGTTTGTTTAACCATTTATCTATTATTCAGTTTCCTTGTTTTCAGGTTTTTTTCAGTTACAAATAGAGCTTCCATGTACATTCTTATACAAGTTTTTGTGTGGCCTAAGTTTTTTGTTTCTGCAAGTGAGAACTAAGAGTATGATTGCTAAATCATATAAGAGATCATATTTAGCTTATACTCATTTAGTTTACAACACAGGAGACCCAGGTTCGATCCCTGGGTCGGGAAGAGCCTCTGGAGAAGGAAATGGTGACCCACTCCAATACTCTTGCCTGGAAAATCCCAAAGATGGAGAAGTGTGGTAGGCTACCACATGGGGTCTCAAAGAGTCAGGCACGGCTGAGTGACTCTGCTTTCATTTAGTTTAAAATACTTCTCCTAGCAGTAACATGAGAAAGATCATTTCTCCACACCCTTGTCAGCATTCGATTGTGTCACAAATTTTTATTTGATGTGTCCTGCATCTGTGTGTAGTGATAGTTCATTGTCACCTTAGTTTGCATTTTCCTTATGGTTAGTGATATTCAATATCCTTTCATTTGCTAGTTTGCCCTTCTTCCATTCTTTTGGGTATTCTTTTTAGTATCACTTGTCATAGTCTAACTGGATTGTTTGAATTGTTTTCCTGTTGAGTTTTGAGAGTTCTTTATATATTCAAAAGATATAAGTCCTTTTGTCAGATAGGTAGGTGGATTTGCAAGTAATTTCTCCTAGTCTCTTTTCTTTTCAATCTCAAAAGGATCTTTCACAAAGCAAAAGTTTTTAATTTTGATAACAGTTCATTTTTTATTTTTATTCCTTTTAGATTGCATGATGTTTTTATGATGTCCATTGCATTTTATTAAGTATCTTTTATGGGATAATTGACATGGTTGTTTGATTTTTCTTTTTTAGCCTGCCAATACAGTGGATTGCATTGATTGATTTTATATATATATATACATATATATATATATATATTGACCTAGCCTTATATCCCTGGAATAAATCTCCTGGGTTATAGTGTATATACTTTTTATGCATTCAGTTCAATTTAGTCACTCAGTCATGTCTGACTCTTTGCGACCCCATCGACTGCAGCACACCAGGCTTCCCTATCCATCACCAACTCCCGGAGCTTACTCAAACTCATGTCCATCGAGTCAGTGATGCCATCCAACCATCTCATCCTCTGTTGTCCCCTTCTCCTGTCTTCAGTCTTTACCAGCATCAGGGTCTTTTCCAACAAGTCAGTTCTTCCCATCAGTTGGCAAAAGTATTGGAGTTTCAGGTTTAGCATCAGTCCTTCCAATGAATTTTCAGGACTGATTTCCTTTAGGGTGGACTGGTTTGATCTCCTTGCAGTCCAAGGGACTATCAAGAGTTTTCTCCAACACCACAATTCAAAAGCATCAATTCTTCAGCACTCAGCTTTCTTTATAGCCCAACTCTCACATCCATACATGACTATTGGAAAAACCATGGCTTTGACTAGATGAACCTTTGTTGACAAGTAATGTGCATTAACAATTTCTTTTTACTAATATTTTGTTGAGAATATTTTCATCAATATTTCTCAGGTCTGTAGTTTTATTTATTTTTTCATACTTTCTTTGTCTGGTTTTGGTATCAAGGTAATTGTTGTTCAGTCATGACTGACTCTTTGCAACCCCATGGACTACAGCATGCCAGGCTTCCCTGTCCTTCACCAACTCCGAAGCTTGTTCAAACTCATGTCCATTGAGTCAATGATGCCATCCAACAATCTTGTCCTCTGTCATCCCCTTCTCCTGTTGCCTTCGATCTTTCCCAGCATCAGGGTCTTTTCCAATGAGTCAACTCATTGTCATCTGTCAACACACAAAGATATTACATAATTATTGACTATATTCCCCACACTGTACATTTCATAGCCATGAGTCATTTATTTTGCAGCTGAAAATTTCTACCTCAGTCTCCCACACCTATTTCTCACCTCCTGTGACCCTTCTCTCCTCTATTTGTTCTCTATAACTATGACTCTGTTTCTGTTTAGTTATGTTTGTTCTTTTGTTTTTTAGTGAAATCATACAGTATTTATCTTTCTCTGTATGACTTATTTCACTTAGCATAATACTCTCCAAGTCCATCCATGTTGTTACAGATGGCAGATTTTATTCTTTTTATGGCTAGTACTCTGTTGTATACATATACTACATCTTCTTTATCCGTTCACCTATTGATGGACACTTACGTTGCTTCCGTATCTTGGCTATTCGAGTAAATAATGCTGCAGTGAAAACAGGGATGCATATATCTTTTCTAATTAGTGTTTTTGGTTTCTTCAGATAAATACCAGGAGTGGGATTGCTAGATCATATAGTAGTTATATTTTTAATTAATTGAGGAATCTCTTGATTTATTGAAGAGTCTCTATACTGTTTTCCATAGCAGCTGCACCAATTTACTTTCCCTGCAGCAGTGCACAAGTATTCCCTTTTCTTCACATCCTTACCAGCGCTTGTTTTCTTTTTCACAGTGGCCCTTCTGACAGGTGTGAGGTGATATCTCAGTGTGGTTTTATTCTCATTTCCCTAGTGACTAGTGATGTGAAGCATCTTTCATGTGCCATCTGTATGTCTTCTTTGAACAAACATCTATTCAGATCCTCTGCTGAATTTTTTAACCTGGTGGTTTGGTGTTTTATTGCAGAATTGTATGCTTGTACTGTTTTGATGACTATAGCTTATAATAGAGTTTGAATCAGAAAATGTAATGCTCCCATCTTTGTTCTTCTTTCTCAAGGTTTAGCTATTCAGGCTCTTTTGTGGGTCCATACAGATTTTAAGATTGTTTGGTCTATTTCTATGTCTAAATTTATTTTTCAGGTTAAGGACTCAAGCTGTATTTAAGTCAAGAGAACTGATTGCTAATAAAGAAATTACTAAACCTCGAGAGCTCAATCTGGATATGAATGGGAGTGGCTCTGGACCAAGGTAAATTTAGGCGGTTGGTGAAGGCACACTATATAGGACTCAGATCTTAAGGATATGCTTGGTATATATTTATAGCTTCATACTGGTGAATCTAGTTTTCTGATTATATGTATAAATATATTCATATTATAAAACTTTGAAAAATATTGATAAGTGTAAAGAAGAAAATAAAAATCTTTCATAATCCTTCCGTTCAGAGACAGTCCTTTGAACCCTTTTTCCCATTCAGTCTCTTTTATGATATTATTTTCTATGTTACAGTAGGGATTATGCTTACACAGAATTTATTTTTTGCTTTTTTCAGTGTATGATAATTTCTGATGTCCTTTTTAATGAAAAACTTGATGTTAATTCATATAACAAATATTTATTGTGTGACAGCTATTACTCAGTATTTATCAATTAACCTATTATTAGATAATACAAGGTTTTAAGTCTCAAAGAGTTGGACATGACTGAGTGACTTTTACTTTCACTTTCATTATAGATTACGCTTTGAAGAAAATTTCTGTGAATACATTTCTTACCTTATCTCCACCTATTTCCTGGGCATAGATTTCTGTAAGCAGAACTGCTAGCTTAAAGTACATGTGAATCCGTTTAAAATTCATGATTCACATTGCCAAATGACTTTTCATGAAAGTTAAATCAACTCAAACTCCCAAACCAATGTTTAAGAATGCTATTTTCATGAAATATAAAGAATTTTTGGCCATTATTTTTTCAAATACATTTTTTTTCCTTAGTCTCTTTATCCTCTCCTTTTGGAACTCTGTTTACATGTGTGTTACCATAGATCTTTAGTTATTGTCCCACAGATTCCTAACTCTCTGCTAATTTTTTAAAACTTATTTTTCTTTATTCATATTGAATGATTTCTATTGATCTGTCCTCAAATTCATCAACTCTTTTGTTGTTTCTAATTTGCTTATAAGCCCATACAGAGATCTTTTTTTTTTTTTAATTTTGGATACTGGATTTTTTGGGTTTAGAATTTCCATTTGTATGTTTGTTATACTTTCTATGTTAAATTTTTCTATTTTATTCATTACAAGTGTATTTGTTCCTTAAACTCTTTGTCTGCTAATTCTAACACCTGGTTCATCTTGAGGTTTGTCTCCATTGATTGAATTTTCTTTGAGTTGGTCATGTTTTCCAGTTTCTTTATATGTTTAGTATTTTTGGATCATTTCCTGGTCATTGTGAATAACTCTAGAATTCAGTTATATAGGCATATCTCATTTTATTATGTTTCACTTTATCATGCTTCACAAATAATTTTATATTTTACAAAAGGAAGGCTTTTGGCAATCTTGCATCAAGCAAGTCTTTCAGCACCATTTCTCCGACAGCATCCGTCACTTTGTGTCTCTGTGTTACATTTTGCTCATTCTTACAATGTTGCTAACATTATTACTGTTTTTCTTGCTAATAGTAGTAGTATTATATTTGTTATAGTGCTCAGTGAACTTAGATTTTACTATTGCAAAAGGATTATGACTTGCTGAAATCTCAGATAATGATTAACTAGCATCTTTTTAGCTATAAAGTACTTTTTTAATTAAAGCTTGTCATTTTATTAGATGTATGCTATTGCACATTTAGTAGACTAACAGGATGTAAACATAATTTTTATATGCACCAGGAAACCAAAATATTTGTCTGACTCCTTTTTTGCAATATTGACTTTATTGTGGTGGTCTGGAACCCAAACTGCAATGTCAAGTATGCCTGTATTTATCTGAACAATGATAATATTTTGTGTACGTGTGGGCAGTTAATTTAACTGAACTCCAATCCAAGTTCGGTGTCCCTGGAGTAAGTGGTGATGATAATCACTGTTGAGTTATTTTAACTTTAATTGCGATGCTTGAGTCTGCCCCGCTCATGGGCTTCCCTTGGAGCACAGCTGGTGAAGAATCCACCTGCAGTGTGGGAGACCTGGGTTTGATCCCTGGTTGGGAGGATCCCCTGGAGAAGGGAACCAGCTACCCACTCTGGTACCTGGCCTGGAAAATTCCATGGTCTGTATAGTCCAGTTCAGTTCAGTTCAGTTCAGTCACTCAGTCGTGTCCGACTCTTTGCAACCCCATGAACCACAGCACGCCAGGCCTCCCTGTCCATCACCAACTCCTGGAGTTTACTCAAACTCATGTCCATTGAGTCGGTGATGCCATCCAGCCATCTCATCCTCTGTTGCCCCATTCTCCTCCTGCCCCCAATCCCTCCCAGCATCAGGGTCTTTTCCAATGAGTCAGCTCTTCGCATGAGGTGGCCAAAGTATTGGAGTTTCAGCTTCAGCATCAGTCCTTCCAATGAACACCCAGGACTGATCTCCTTGAGGATGGACTGGTTGGATCTCCTTGCAGTCCAAGGGACTCTCAAGAGTCCCAACTCTCCAACACCACAGTTCAAAAGCATAAATTTTTCAGCACTCAGCTTTCTTCACAGTCCAAGTCTTACATCCATACATAACCACTGGAAAAACCATAGCCTTGACTAGATGACCTTTGTTGGCAAAGTAATGTCTCTGCTTTTTAATATGCTATCTAGGTTGGTCATAATTGTCCTTCCAAGGAGTAAGCATCTTTGAATTTCATGACTGCAGTCACCATCTGCAGTGATTTTGGAACCCAAAAAAATAAAGTCTGACACTGTTTCCATTGTCTCCCTATCTATTTCCCATGAGGTGATGGGACCAGATGCCATGATCTTAGCTTTCTGAATGTTGAGCTTTAAGCCAACTTTTTCACTCTCCTCTTTCACTTTCATCAAGGGGCTTTTTAGTTCCTCTTCACTTTCTGCCATAAGGGTGCTGTCATCTGCATATCTGAGATTATTGATATTTCTCCCGGCAATCTTGATTCCAGCTTGTTCTTCTTCCAGCCCAGTGTTTCTCATGATGTACTCTGCATATAAATTAAATAAGCAGGGTGACAATGTATAGCCTTGACGTACTCCTTTTCCTATTTGGAACCAGTCTTTTGTCCCATGTCTAGTTCTACCTTTTGCTTCCTGACCTGCATATAGGTTTCTCAAGAGATGAGTCAGGTGGTCTGACTCATATGCCCATCTCTTTCAGAATTTTCCACAGTTTATTGTGATCCACACAGTCAAAGGCTTTGGCATAGTCAATAAAGCAGAAATAGATGTTTTTCTGGAACTCTCTTGCTTTTTCGATGATCCAGCGGATATTGGCAATTTGATCTCTGGTTCCTCTGCCTTTTCTAAAACCAGCTTGAACATCTGAAAGTTCACGGTTCACGTATTGCTGAAGCTTGGCTTGGAGAATTTTGAGCATTACTTTAGTAGCGTGTGAGATGAGTGCAATTGTGTGGTAGTTTGAGCATTCTTTGGCATTGCCTTTCTTAGGGATTGGAATGAAACTGAAGTTTTCCAGTGCTGTGGCCACTGCTGAGTTTTCCAAATTTGCTGGCATATTGAGTGCAGCACTTTCACAGCATCATCTTTCAGGATTTGAATAGTCCATGGGGTTGCAAAGAGTTGGACAAGACTGAGAGACTTTCACTTTCATTTTTCAGGATGCTTGAGTCTGTTCTGATCATGTATAAGTTCAGGGGTTAGCCTGAACTGGCAAGATTGTTAGATAGAATTTAAGGCTTTCCTATTTCTCTCCTCTCCAAGATTTTTCACTTTTTAGCTCCTTTCATCAGCCTATACTCTATCCTCTCATTCTTTAAGCCTGCTTTCAGCTAAAAACCATTAAAAAACTTGGAAACTCACCCAGAGCTGCTGTTTTCTTTCAAGTGCTGATCCTCTGGCAGCTTCTGCCTGCTGCTGGCCACACCGCTTTTCAGTATGTTTGTTATTTTTTTCCTCCCAGGTTGTCCAGTTGTTACATGTAGGAGATTTGGCCCTGTGGAAGCTCCTCAACCATTATCAGGAGCAGAACCGAAGAATTCTTGTTTTTACACAGTTTGCTGTAATTAATTTTTTCAGTTGTAAAATATAGATAAAATTTGCCGTCTCACCCATTTTTTAGTTTACTGTTCATTAATAGTAAACATATTTATATGTTGCTCCCAAACTTCTAATTTCTCTCTCCTGGCACCTTCCCCCTTTGGTGATCATAAGCCTGTTTTCTACGTCTGTGACTCTATTTCTGTTTTGTAAATAAGTTCATTTGTGTCATTTTTTTAGATTCCATATATAGGTAATATCATAGGATATTTGTTCCTCTCTAACTTCTTCACTCAGCATGATAATCTCTAGGTCCATCAATGTTGCTGCAAGTGGCATTATTTTATTCTTTTTTATGGCTGAGTAATACTCTGGTGTGTGTGTGTGTGTGTGTGTGTGTGTGTGTGAGAGAGAGAGAGAGAGAGAGAGAGAGAGAGAGAGAGTGTGTGATGTGGTATATAGTAGACATCTTTTATCAATCCATCTGTCAGTGGGCATTTAGACTGCTTCCGTGTCTTGGCCATTGTAAATAGTGCTACAGTGAATATTGGGTACATGTATCCTTTCTCTTCTGTACTGTTAATATCACTTTTAATTTTAAAAATTTTTATTGGAGGATAGCTGACTTACACTATTGTGGTAGTTTCAGGTGTGCAGCAAAGTAAATCAATTGTACCTGTACATACATCCCATGTCGGCCACTGCGGAGCATTGACTAGAGTTCCCTGTGCTATACAGTGGGTCCTTATCAGTTACCTATTTTATATACATAGCAGGTGTGTATATGTCAGTCCCAGTCTCGCAGTTTCTCACTCCCTCCTCTTACCCACTGATAACCGTAAGTGTGTTTTCTGTATCTGTCACTTATTTCTGTTTTGTAGATAAGTTCATTTGTACCCTTTCTATAGATTCCACCTATCAGTGATATCATATCCTATTTGTCTCTTTTTGCCTGATTTACTTCACTCAGTACAACAATCTCTAGGTGCATCCATGTTGCTGCAAATGGCATGATTTTGTCTTTTTTATGCCTGGGTAATGTTTCATTGTATATATGTATCACGTCATCTTTATCCATT